CCCTCAGGGTTTCACTGAGGAGGACGGAGGAGTGGAACAAAGAGGGGGCCATGTAGCACAGCCTGGCTCAGATTGTCTAGGACGGACACACCAGTAGACATTAGCCAGGCAGAAGGCAGAGAAGGCATCCTTGCCCCAGCCAGGCGATGACACAGCCACTGCTGTTCACCGCAGAATCTGACCCACCCAGAGATCACACTGTGTCAGGCTGAGACCCTAGAACGTCTCCTCCAGGCCAGCCAGACTCAAAGCAAAGTCCCAGTTGTCACAGCAACCCCAGGCATGGGTTCAGAGTAGAACTGTGCACCACAGGGTTTTCAATGCCTAGGCCTTTCTTCCAAGGCACCTCGGGGTAAATGCTTTTGGTGAACAGCTGAGCGAGCATTCACCGTTTCTGCCGCCCAGTTATCTGTCCCCACCCCCTCCTCTGTGCTGGCTTCTTTCTTTTTTTGAACAGGACTCTTAATTCATCAGCGACAGTTATCTGCACCGTCACACATTGGCCACTGACTCTTCCTCCCTGTCTTGATTGGGTTTCCCTGCTGAAACCATTGAACACAGGCCTGCCTTCTGAGGCCTCTGACCCAGCAGGATTCCAGTTGCTTCTCCAGCTGTTGCCAAGTGGTGGCCACAGATGTGCTGTGTGGAGCAGAGGGCCGTCCTTCCAGCTTAACAAAACCTTTCCTCCTGTTCCCCTTTCTCCTGCTTGCCCCATGGGCGCCTGCAGGCCCGACCTCGTGCTCTCGGCCCAGGGGGCAACGCCAAGACTTGTTTGGAGGATTTTTCCTCCGCCTACGCTCTTTCCCTCCCCCATGTCAGGTTTCCCACTCCTCTCCAAAGGAGACCAGAGGTCGAGCGCACTGAATAACGGCCGTCCCTAAGAGGGCTGCTCCCTCTTCGGCCAGTTTTTGTTATTAACACCCACAGGTGCAGTGTGTGGAAGGGCCTCATCTTTGATATTAACACTCAAGGGTGTGCACGTGAAGGGAGCCTCCCTCCTCAGCCTGGCCATTGATGCTAACACATGGGGCTCAAGGTTCAGGCTTTCGGGATCTCTCAACCTATGAGGCTCAGTTCACCCGCATGTGTAAGAGAATCACTTGCAGGCAAGTTATTGTCATTAGGGTCACCCAGGCCAGGTCAGACATGGCCTAAGGGTTTCCTAGGACAGTATCTCCAGTCGGGGCAGGGGACCTGACCAAATTGGAACTTTCCTCCTGGCCCTCGTACCAAGGCCCCAAGGCAGTGGCCAGCTCAGAATCTGAGTGGACTTTTGGTTGAGGAGAATTCCGAGCTACAGTTTCTCTGTTGTGGTGGACTGTGTCCCCCAAACAGGGGACCCTAACTCCAGTGTCTGTGAACATTGCTTTGTGTAGAAATAGGGTCTCTGCAGATGGCATCTAGTTAAGATGTGGCCACTGGGACCAATTGTGTTGTGACAGTTACAACTCACGGAGCCGTCAGAGCGTGACGGGCAGTCCGGTCGCTTGGGGTCAGACTCCAGCCTCCAGAACTCTGTGAGGGAGTATGTTTCTGGTATCTTGAGCCTCCTAGGAATAAATACAGTGGGGTGCCTGCTGGTGATCCTGGTTCACCAGTGGGGGTGACCCCCCCAGTCCCCTGGGCCTTTGGAAACATGGCAAGTCCTTCTGCAGAAACTTGTGAATGGCATGGCCTGGCACCTAAATCTGGGGCAGAGCCTTCCAGAACGTTTCCTCCCAAGGCTGGGCCTGTGTTTGCTCCAGGGGGAGGAGGTGCCAGCTTCATCACACCCATGTGGGTGTCACAGCGCAGCCTTTGTGTGGCCCACTGCTGGTGACTCAGGCCCTGCAGCCGGCACCCTGACCCAGGTGCAGGACAGTGGTTTTCCAGCAGCACTGGCAGTTCTGGCCCTGTGGGAGGGCGGGTGCATGGGGGGCCGCAGTGGTCCCTCCATACTCGTGTACCAGATGGGTGCTGGGCTCTCCGCAGGCAGGCCACAGCCAGGTGCTGTGCCTCAGTTTCCTCCGATGCAGTGTGGGCCGTGGGTGCTCCTTCAGGTTGCGGGGAGCACAAGGGAGGGCGTGTGTGAGGCGGGCCTTGTGAGTTTAGAGTGCAAGCTCCACACAGGGAGGGGTTAGGCCTGGCACTGTGTCTGCCTGAACCTCATGCACCATCTCCCTGCCTGGGCTGAGCTGCTAGCCTTGGCTGCTCACCTGGGAGGGTTCTCAGGCCTGCTCCTCTTCACCTCTGAGAACCCAGGCTGCCCACTCCCCAGGGACGGCACCGGCCTGTAGAGAAACCTGGTCGTCACATCAAAGCCCAGGGCCTTCTGGTCACTCGCATGTGACCAGGCTTGGGGTCTGCCCTGGACCACGCTGGAGGCCCCCAGAGTGTGCCTCGCACCCCCTCTCCACTGGACTGCTACCGTGTGGAGGCCACATGGATCAGGCCTAGGGCCTGGGCACCTGAGCACAGCACCCTCTCCGTTGCTGTTGCTTGTCTTGGCTCTTTGTTCCCCACTTTGTCCTGGTGGCCTCATTCATGTCAGTCCGTCAGCAGCCTTCGTGGCCTCATTTCCCCAGCATGGCACCTGAACAACTCTAGCTCACAGTAGGGCTCTGTGCAGGGGTGGGGGGCTGCCAGAGGGGTTCACAGATGGGCGGAGGGGGACAGCAGGCAGGTGCCTCAGAGAGATGGTGGTGGTGCTAAGTGCCCTGGAGGTGATCCTGACTCATGGAGACCCCATGTGACTGAATATATCTGCCCCATAGTTTTTCTAGGCTGTAATCTTTCAGGGGACCGGGATCTTTCTGTTGTACATAAGGTTGCTGAGTCAGAGCTAACTCAACGGCACCTAGCAACAACCTTTTGGGAGTAGACACAAGTCTCCTGCAGAGCCATCGGGTGGGTTCAAACCACCAACCTTTCGGTTAGTAGCCAAGCACTGAACCAATGGGAAGGATGGCATGTCCTGGCCTCACCTGGCTTCATAAAGGGGCGTCGTGGAGGCTGGAGACGGCCCAGACTCCTCTTTCACTTCCCTCCCATGAGGCGTGCTGGAGGAATAGGGGCCAGGGACCGTGGGGGCTGCCGGGAGGACGTCTGGCTGGGGTGCCCTTGCTGGGAAGGAAGGCGCGGTTCCACACTCCAGTGCTCCGTCCCACCCCGCTCACCAGTCTCAGCGCTCGATGGCCTCATCGGTACCCTCTCTGGCAGCCACTGCACTTGACAACAGCCCGTTTGACCACCATCAAAAGAAGTGAAACCTCCCCATGAAATAAAAAGGAACCCTGTGGGGAGACTGGGTTCCTGTCTTGTAACTCATTCAGCAAAAGTGGGACCCCACTTCCCTGTGAGGACTGTTCCTGGGCCCTGCACTAGCCCTGCTTCCTTCCTATGCCCCTGCAGGGGATACCTCCTCTCCTGCACCCAACTCCTCTCCTGGGATGGGGTGCCTTGTGGAGACCCAGGTGTCCCACCTGCAGGGACAAGGATGGGTGAGCCCCACCCTGGAGTTGTACACAGTCCCTACCAGAGGGACAAGCCACCATGAGGTCAGAGGTGTGGGAGGCAGGCATGGGCGCTGGTGGCCAAAGCTCACCCAGTGCTCACAGCACTCTGACAGGGGCTGCCTGGCATCAGCCATCATCCCCAAGGCTTCTGCCCATGTGGGGGACTGGGCCTGCCCAGGGCCTCAGGAACCTCAGGAGTGTCCTCATTGAGTGAACAGAGGCGGCACTATGGAAATTCTGGAGCACAGCCTCGAGGGAGGGGCGGGAGCTCCATGTGGAGCTCCACAAGGCACCCCATCCCAGGAGAGGAGTTGGGTGCAGGAGAGGGTGGTATCCACTGCAGGGGCATAGGAAGGAAGCAGGGCTAGTGCAGGGCCCAGGAATGGTCCTCACAGGGAGCTGGGGTCCCACTTCTGCTGAGACTATGGCGTTGAGATGCCTGCTGCCTGGCACAGCCCCAGGCCACACCATGCGGTTCTGCCTCCCCCACCTACTGTCTTCAGCCACCTGGGACCAGCAAGACACTGGTGATGTTTGTTGTTGGGTTCTGTGTTTCTGGGCGCTTCGATACTGTCCTCTTTCACACACCGGGCAGTTCAGTTTGGACGAGGCAGTTACGACTTCAGCCACCCTCCTCCCACACACCTCTGCCTCCCTGACAGGGAAAGGCTGCATGGCAGGTGCTTGTCCCTGCTGTCCCGATCAACAGGACCTCCTGGGAGCTCGGGGGTCAAGTGCTCACCAAGTGTTTCTTAAAAGTCCCGGCAGCCTTTGGGGTGGGACAGGCATCCCTGTCCTGCAGATGGGGGCTCTGAGCTGAGAAACAACTGGACAGTCCCCATTCTCCCAGGAGGTAAACGGCAGGGCCCCCACGTGGGCCCATCCAAAGCCTGTGCCCCCCAACACGAGTTCACAGTGCCTTGTGATCAAATGTTTTTCTTCTGAAAATTGATCCTGGAGCTTCAAGAACAGGCCCAGTCCCCAGTTCTTTCCTGGGGGAGATATGTACCCAAGCCTCCAGGTCAGTGTCCATGGAGGGCATGTGTCCCACACAGGGTCAGCCTGGTGAGCACTGCAGTATCTGCACAAAACTACAGACTCACCCGAGTGGCCGTGCATGGCTCCCATCCACACTAATGCCGTGGGGGGTCCTGGGCGTCAGAACGGCTGTGCTCTGCCCGTCCTGGGGGTGACTTTGCAGTGTGGCACCTCTGAGCATATTTTGAGTATTCAGACACCACTGTGACCAGGATGAGGCCCTGCCCTAGGAGCTTCCAACCACATGGGGTGCCATGGTACACAGAAGCAAGTGGCAGGCCCACTCTGAGATGACTTCTAGATGAATGGCCTGGCCAACTGCACAGAGATACCAAGTAGCAGTCTGGAGCCAGGCCCTCACCAGGTTCTCCTGTTCTGTGTTTGCTGCATGTCCAGTGGATGACGTCCCAGGTGAGTGACCCTCACTGTCTTAGAAGGCTTACACTGCTTCCCCCTTTTGCCTTCCAGCTGGTCAGCGAGAAGGTCGGCGGGGCCGAGGGGACCAAGCTTGATGATGACTTCAAAGAAATGGAAAAGGTGATGGGGAAAACGGTGTCACCTAACACTGAGCACTGTGGGTGGCACTGACTGGAGGTGTCTCCTCTGCCTTCCCAGAGCCATAGTCCAAGGGGCGTGGGGACAGGGCCAGCCCCCATCTGGGCACAAAGTCACAAGGTTGGCCCTGGGCAGGCAGTGCCTGGGTAGGGCTTTTCTAGCAGGGAGGCAGGAGGCCCGGCTGGCTTCAGAAGTAGCCAGTAGCCCTTGTGTGGGCTTTACGGGGGTAACACCTGGGTGAGGGCTGTCCAGGTGACTGTGCTCTGGGTTTGGGCATCACAATGCAAAACTTACACATTTCCTCTCTACAGAAAGTAGATGTCACCAGTAAGGCTGTGACGGAGGTGCTGGCCAGAACCATCGAGTACCTCCAGCCTAACCCAGGTAGGAACACCAGCCAACTGCCAGGGATCTGTGTGTCCCTCAGGAATCATGTAGAAGGAATGTATGTTTTTGGTGGTGGTGTTAGGTGCCAGTGAGTTGGCCCTGATTCATAGTGACCCTGCGTACAACAGAATGAAACACTGTCCGGTCCTGTGTCACCCTCCCAGTCCTTGCTATGCTTGAGCCCATTGCTACAGCCACTGTGTCAGTCCATCTTGTTGAAGGTCTTCCCCTTCTTCGCTGACCCTCCACTTTTTCAAGCATGACATTCTTTTCCAGCATGACTGAAGTAGGTGGGACGAAATCTGGCCATTCTCGCTTCCAAGGAGCATTCTGGCTGCACTCCTTCCAGGACAGATTTGTTTGTTCTGGTGGTCCAGAGTACATTCAGCATTCTTTGCTAACACCACAGTTCAAAAGCGTCAACTCTTCTTTGGTCTTCCTTATTTGTTGTTCAGCTTTCACATGCACATGAGGTGATTGAAACCACCATGGCTTGGGGTAGGTGCACTTTAATCTTCAAAGAGACATCTTTGCTTCTTAACACTTTAAAGAGGTCTTTTGCAGATTTTCTCAGTGCAACATGACATCTCATTTCCTGACTGCTGCTTTCAGGGGTGTTGATTGTGGCTCCAAGTAAAATGAAATCCCTCACAACTTTTGCCTCTTCACCATTTATCATGATGTTGCTTATTGGTCCAGTTGTGAGCATTTTTGTTTTCTTTCTGTGGAGGTGTAATCCATACTGCAGACTGTAGATTTTGAACTTCATCAGTAACTGCTTCGAGTCATCTTCATTTTCAGTAAGTGAGGTTGTGTCACCTGCTTATCACAGGTTGTTAATGGTTCTTCCTCCAATCTTAATGCCACATTCTTCTTAATATAGTCGCAAAACTAAAAACCAAACTCACTGCCATTGAGTTGATTCCAACTCATAGTGACCCCCATTTGGTTTCCAAGGCCGTAAATCTTTATGGAAGTAGATTGCCCCATCTTCCTTCCTTGGAATGGCTGGTAGGTTTGAAATGCCACCCTCTAGCTGGTAGTCAGAATGCCTTAGGCACTACCCCACCAGAGTGCCTTTCATGTGCTCCAGCTTCTGTCATTATTTTCCTTGCATACAGATTGAATAATTATAGTGAAAGGATACAAGCCTAACACACACCTTCCTGATTTTAAACTGTGTAGTATCCTGTTATTCTGTTCAAGTGGCAGAACATGGTCTATGTACAGGTTCCTTATGAGAACAATTAAGTGTTCTGGAATTCCATTCTTCATAATGTTAGTCATAACTTGTTACGATCTACACAGTCACATGCTTTTGCATAGTCAAGTCAATATTCTGGTATTTTTTGCTTTCGGCCAAAATGCACTTGACAGCAATGATACCCCTCATTCCACATCCTCTTCTGAATCCAGCTTGCATTTCTGGAAGTTCTCTGTCAATATACTACTGCGATCATTTTTTAATTATCTTCAGCAAAAATTTACTTGCATGTGATATTACTGATATTGTTTGATAATATCCATTCTCTTGGATCCCCTTTCTTTGGAATGGGCGCAAATATTGGTTTCTTCCAGTCAGTTAGCCAGGTAGCTGTATTCGAAATGTCTTGGCGTAGATGAGTGAGCACCTCCAAGTGCTGCACCCACTTGTTGAAACACCTCAGTTGGTATTCCATCAGTTCCTGGAGTCTTGTTCTTTGCTTATGCCTTCAGTGCAGATTGGACTTGTTCCTTCAGCACCATCAGTTCTTGACCGTATGCTGCCTTCTGAAATGGTTGGACATCAACCAGTTTTTTTTTTTTTTATAGTGACTGTATTCCTTCCATCTTCTTTTGATACTTTTTACATTGTTTTACCCACAGAATCATTCAGTATTGCAACTAGAGGCTTGAATTTTTTTTCAGTTCAGCTTGAGAAATGCTGAGCATGCTCTTACCCTTTGGTTTTCTAAATCCCTTTTGGTTTTGAAATCTTCAATTCTTTTGTTTAGGATTTCTTCCATTTGCTTTGCTACTCTTATGTTCAAGAGCAAGTTTGAGAGTCTCTTATGACATTCATTTTGGTCATCTTTCCTTTCCTGTGTTTTCAATGACCATTTAAAGCCATCACAGTACGACTAAGTGATAGGCAGACGGTGGAAGGAATGTATAGGTTCCCAGAACTGAAATACCCAGAATAGGTGGGCTTCAGGCACAGGTGGACCCAGGAGTTGTGTGTGTTCCTTCTGGCAAATGTGTTTCCTCCCTGCCCCGTCTGGCAGCACAGACACCTCCCTGCTGGCGTCATTCTCCAGCCGCTTGTTCCTCACAGCAGTCCTAGGCTTATAGCATCTATCCTCCCTTAACTCACCTGTTGAGCTAGTCTCAACTGGATGCCCATCCTTAGTTACACAAACCTGGGGCTGGCTTGCCTGGACTGACAAGGAAGTGGGGCCTTTCCCTAGAGGAGGAGCTAAACAAAGGGGCTGCTGGCTGCAAGGCAGGCAGCCAAGGTGCAGACATCCCCTCGAGGCCTCTTGGAGGAGCAGTCGAAGAAGTGCAGCAGACCCCCTGTGCCTGAGCGCACCTGCCACCTGGGTGGGGGAGGGGACTTCTAGGCCACAGCTTTGACGAGATGCCCCAGAGGAGGGCAGCAGACTTGGGAACTGTTGCCCATGGTGCCCGCTGCTGCTTCCTGGCTGATGCAGCGGGGAAATCGCTGCTCTCTGGAGTCCTGGGGGAGCTGCCAATCTGCTCTTCCCCTGGCTGGGCCCTCTGGCAGAGTGCAGGGGTCAGTCCAGGGTCCCCTTAAGAGACTGCCGCGCCAGGCCACAAGGCCCCGTCCTGTTACAGCCTCGCGGGCCAAGCTGACAATGCTCAACACGGTGTCCAAGATCCGGGGCCAGGTGAAGAACCCCGGCTACCCGCAGTCCGAGGGCCTGCTGGGCGAGTGCATGACCCGCCACGGCAAGGAGCTGGGGGGCGAGTCCAACTTCGGTGAGTGGACCCCGGGGGCTGGAGCGCCATCACTTCCTGTCACCTCCAGCTCTCCTCAGGGCCTGGGGTGCTGGGTTCAGGCGACAGCCACTGTGGGTCACTGATTCAATGAACACTTACCCAGCACCTCCTGGGGCCAGGCAGTGACCTCACCCAGCACACGATGAGGGTGAAACGTTGTCCCCACACACGGATGGGGCTGAGCAGGGGCACATGTGACATCATGGTGGGTGGGCAGTGAGGAAGCAAGAAAGACATGAGGAATAACTTCTAGAACCTTCTTAGTGCTACCCATTGCCTCCAGGCTGGGGAACTAAGAAACACTACCCCTTCCCTCTGCAGCAGCCTCTGCCCTTTGACCCCCACAGGGCGAGGAAGGTTCAAGGCACTCTGCAGGGCCTGCCCCTCATACCACCCCAGCCAGTGTCCCCAGAGCCCACACCCACTTCTAAGAGTCGAGGGCAGGGGGAAGCTCAGCCATGGTCACTTGAGGTGCATACTTTAGGGCCCTGTGTTTTCTCTGGAGTCCTAGTGGCACAGTGATTAGAGCACTCAGCTGCTAACCAGAAGGTCAGCAGTTCGAACTCACCAGCCATCCCATGAGAGATTTGGCAGTCTGTTTCCCTGAAGACTGACAGCTTTGGAAGCCATCTGGGGCAGTGCTACTCTGTCCTCTAGGGTCGCTGTGAGTCGGAATTGACTCGGTGGCAGTGGGTTTGGTGTAGGCAGTGGGTTTGGTGTAGGCTTTGGTCTGGTCAAGACTGACAGCCTAGGAGAGCCTGTGGGGCGGGCCCACTCTGTCCTATAGAGCCGCTGTGAGTCGGAATCGACTCAGTGGCAGTGCCTTCGTTGTTTCCTCTGATCTGGCCCCTGGCCTTTGACTCTAGGGTAGGTGGCAGTTTAGAAGTTGGGAAATGTGGTGGCTGTGAGCCCATGTGAAGGCCTCTCCTGCCCCCAGGTGACGCCCTGCTGGACGCGGGCGAGTCCATGAAACGCCTGGCCGAGGTGAAGGACTCTCTGGACATCGAGGTCAAGCAGAACTTCATCGACCCCCTCCAGAGTCTGTGCGACAAGGACCTGAAGGAGATCCAGGTGCCAGCCCCACTGCCCTGTCCCCACTGCTGGGGACACCCAGAGCCTGCTGTCCTCGTTCCATCCACTGTCCCTGCAGAACCAGGAGGGGCCTATGTCACCTGCCTGGACCTGTCTCCACCCAATTCAGTCCTCATTATACGTGGCAGCCCCACTCTGGTCTCCCTGGCTCAGCAGTCCTGTGTGCCAACCCCATACACACCACGTGCATAGGCGTGCACACTAACACGCAGCCACATGTGCCTGTACTCATGGACTGGTACACGTCCTGTGCACTCCTCACACACATTCACTCACAAGCTCCCCTCACACACACTCACGTGCACACTCCTGTACTCAAAGACGCACACACACAACCCCAACCTAAATGCAAATTTCCCTGCAAGAGAGGCCACAGGGACACTGGTGAAAGCTAGCCAGTCTCTTGTCCTCAGCACCACCTGAAGAAACTGGAAGGCCGGCGCCTGGACTTCGACTACAAGAAGAAGCGGCAGGGCAAGATCCCTGACGAGGAGCTGCGCCAGGCCATGGAAAAGTTCGAGGAGTCAAAGGAGGTGGCCGAGACCAGCATGCACAACCTCCTGGAGACTGACGTATGTGGGCACTGTGTGTGTGGCGGGGGGGTTGGCAGAGACAGGTCGCCCTGCTTGGTGCTCAATCAGTGTGCAAACAGACCAGGCAGTGGGGACCAGCCCAGCTACAACCAGGCATGGCGGGGAAGGACTGGGGCCCTGGAGGCAGGGGTGCCTAGGAGCAGGGTCCCCTCTGCCGAGCCCCTGCAGCCCTGCCTGGTCCCACAGATCGAGCAGGTGAGCCAGCTGTCGGCACTGGTGGATGCTCAGCTGGACTACCACCGGCAGGCCGTGCAGATCCTCGAAGAGCTGGCCGAGAAGCTCAAGCGGAGGTGAGCAGGCCTGGCCCTTTGCACCCAGAGGCCTGGCCAGCCACGGCTGCATTCCTGCCCAGATTCCTGGGGGTGGGGGACTTTGATGGGCCCACGCAGCTGGGAGACCTCTGCTGGCTGCAGGGCCAGCGCACATCGCCTGGTCTCCCAGCCGAAGGCCTGGGTCATGAGGATGGCCTGCAGCAGAGGAACTAGGCTCTCTGTGCCGCTCAGTCACAGGAGCAGCTTAAAGTGGTGCCACCTAATTCCCTGTGGGGTGGGCTGTGGTTCCTGACCTTGACACCTGGCCCGGGGCTGCTCCGGGACCCCTCCTGTGCAGGATGCGTGAAGCCTCTTCGAGGCCCAAGCGGGAGTATAAGCCCAAGCCCCGTGAGCCCTATGACCTTGGAGAGCAGGAGCAGTCCAACGGGGGCTTCCCCTGTACCAACCCCCCCAAGATCACAGGTAAGGGCAGACAGGCCTGCGGAAGGGGGAGCGGGAGGGAACACTGGGGGCAAGGCTGGCTGAGTGCTGGCACTGTCTTGGGTCTTTGGGGAGCTCCGAGGTGTGGCCCCTGGCAGGGGCAGGAGTGTCCCCCACAGTCAGATGTTGGGTCCATGCCTAAGACTCAGCTATGTCCCCTTTCCTGGTTTTCAGCTTCTTCATCCTTCCGGTCTTCTGACAAGCCCGTCCGGACCCCCAGCAGGATTATGCGTGAGTGTCCCCCAGGGCCTATCTCCCCACTTCTCCCTTAGAATGTGAACACCCCCCTAGGGGCTGGCCAGCCTGGACTGGAGTGCCTGCCCTTCTCAAGTGCAGGAGGACCCAGCACCACAGGACAGCACAGGCACCACCCAGTGGCCATCTTCTGTGGGCCGGGGCTACGGCAGCCACATCCTGGCGTCAGTGCCTCTGCCTGTGGGCCTGTTTCTTCCTGGCACTGCTACCTCATGCCCCCAGGTGGTGCTCTGTGTGCTCTGAGTAGTGGCCACAGCAGTGGGGGCTCTGGTTGTCCCTCATTCCCACCAGGAGCTGTGGCAGTCCCCACAGCCCTCCCCCATCCCCTGGCAAGCAGTGAGGGAGCACTGAGGAGTCATTAGAGGAAGTTAAGGGTCAGCCGGCAGCAGAAAAGAGGCCAGGCTGGGCGAGGGGTAGGCACGGACCCTGGCCCTGATGCCCCCCGCCCCCCAGCGCCCCTGGACCAACCGAGCTGTAAGGCCCTGTATGACTTTGAGCCGGAGAACGATGGCGAGCTGGGCTTCCGCGAGGGCGACGTCATCACGCTCACCAACCAGATCGATGAGAACTGGTACGAGGGCATGCTCAACGGCCAGTCCGGCTTCTTCCCACTCAGCTACGTGGAGGTGCTGGTGCCGCTGCCGCAGTGACCCGGCTGCCCGCAGCCGGAGCCTGTGAGCGTCTGTGTGGTGGTCTCCCAGGCTCGCCCAGGTACTGCCAATGGCTTGGCAGCCTGAGCCTGAGCAGGGGCTGCTGGGAGGGGGCAGCAGGGCCGTTGACAAGTGCTCCTGCCTCAGTGGGAGGCACCCCTTCCCACCTCACTTGGCCTGTTGGGCTGGGCGGTCTTCTTCAGCCCACCGGCTCCACCCTAGCCCAACAGGAGCCCCCCGGTGGGGCTGACACTAAGGTGCTCTTTGCAACACTAATGTTCCTCCCAGCCCCTCCCTGGGGCTCTAGGATCACCCCTCCTATCCACCATGCTGGGGCCCCCATCTCCACCTCTGTCTTAACCTCTGGGGCCTAGTCCCACCCTTCCCAGAACCCCTGTCCTTAGGAGTTGAGACTGATCTGCGTGAGGGGTACATCATACCACATCACCCCTGGTCCTAAACCCACCCATGAGGTTTCCTCTCCAGCCAGTTGCTGACAAGAGACCTGCAAGGCCCGCAGTTCCTGCTCATGCAGAGGCCCTGTCCCCAGGCTTTGCACAGAAGCCACTGCTGCAAAGCTAGGGACTCTCTGCAGCCACCCCAGCCAGGGCCTGCCCCTGCCCCCCGTGAGCCCCACCTGGGGCACTGGGCTTAAGTGGCTGTGTCCCCAGCCTGTAAGTCTTGAGGCACGCACTCCCACTGTCATCTCTGGCAGCCTCTGTCTCACCCCTGCAGGAGTTTGCCCACCTCACTCCTACTCCCTCTTTTCCACTCTCAAAATCATACCCTTTCAACTTCTTACTGCTCCAGCCTAGCACAAGAAGGGGTGTCTCTGGCCACAGCTGCCACCACCAGCTATACATACACACCCCAACACCCTCAGAATGGGACCACGGGCCTCAGCCCCCTGCCAAATGACGGTCAGGCACAAAGTCTTCCTTGAGTGAAAGCTCCCAGACCTCCGGCTGCTGGGCCACCCTGGGGACCCTCTTTGGCTCCCACCCCAGAGCCAGCTGACTCCTCCAGACCAAGGAGGCAGCTCTTAGGAGCCCAAGACCCTTGAAAGCAGGGCCCCGCCCCTCCTGGGCCTCCTAGCCTCAGGCAAGCACAGGGAGCAAGCAGGGTATTGCCACACCCACATTCCCCACTTCTGCCCAGGGGACCCAGTGCCCCCTCACCGTTACAGGACACGGGTATCTCAGTGGAGCAGAGCAGTGAGGCCTGGGCCCTGGCGTCTTATCCCCCAGGGCACAAGGAAATGTAACCGTGATTTTTTAAAACAAGTATTAAACGTCTCTTTGTACACTCTGTGGTTTCATTGTGGTGCGGGAGGCAGGCAGGGTTGCCGCAGGCCCCCAGCACAGAGGCACTCCCTTGGTGTCTTCTCTGGAAAGGGACCCCCATGATCTCATGCCACCCTGTGACGACCTGGACCCACAGAAGTGCACACATGTTCACACCAGCCCTGTGCCCAGGGGACAGTTTGGCCCCCACAACCACCAGCAGGGGCAGCACTGGGACAGAGCCCACACTGTCCCCACACAAATGTAGTTCCTGCCACACCCTGTGTCCCCCTTCCCGAAGGCATGCCCTACGGGAGGTACTGCAGAGCCAAAAGGAGGGTACCCTGCCTGCTCCGCCCAAGGTGCCCAGATGCAGAGGCTGTGGGTGCAGGGAGTGGGGTGGGGCATGGGCCCACAACGGCAGCACCAGGCCCAGGAGGGATCTTCCAGCCGGCCCCCTCCCTGTCACAAACCCCTCCCCCCATACACCCGTCACAAAGTGAGACACCTGCGACCCACCGTTACCCTCGGTCTGTCTTTATTATCTAAGGCTCTCCTCTGAATGGCCAAGGTGCAGGCAAAGCCCTGGGACCAGAGCGCAGGGCGCCCAGAGTCAGCTGTGCCCCTTCAGGACTGGGGCCAGGCAGGTGCCTGTGGGGCCGCCTTCAGCTGCCCTGCTTGAGGACGCTGTAAACCTGCTCCAGCACGTGGCACAGGCCTGGGTCCTTGGGCGTCCGGCTGGCCAGGGAGATCTGTAACAGGGAGGGGGCTCAGGGCTGTCCCGGGTGCAGGGTGCGGGCCTGAAGCCACACATCCTCTAGTAAGAGGGACAGAATGACGAACGGTGGGGTGAGGCCTATCTGTGGGGTACGTGTCCTGGGTTCCTCCTCTCCTGGATCTGAAATACCAGTGTACCCAGGCCACGCAGCCTGTGAACCCGGCCCCCACTCCAGGCCTCCGAACCAGCGACCAGTCCACCTCCAGCCCCATTCCCCAGCAGCCCAGTGCCTGGCAGGGAAGGTGACCAGCAGTCAGGGTAATGCTCAGGCCACCACTGCCACTGGTGTGAGCAAGGTGGTCAGTGTATGGAAGCATGTCTCTGCAAAGCCGGGTCAAGTGTCTTCTGAGAATGACTTTGAAGCAGGAAACACACTGGGTGGGCGCTGGGCCCTCATGTAAAGGCCCGCCCCCTACAGAGCCAGGGCCGCACACAAACCCTTCAAGTGGACTGAGCCTGAAGCTCCAAGTGAAGACACGCCCCGTGCCACCTTGTGGGCGGCAGCAGTATTACAGCCCAGGCCGGCCTCCGGGCAGATTTCAAACATCCCAGAGCGATCACACAAGACCATTCTTGGCTGATTTCCAGTGGCACTACTTTTGTAGAGAGCAAGAGGGGAAGTTAAAGTCATTGATCTCAAACTGCCTGTGGATATAGTCTTGGGGGCTCTCCAAAAACTGTCTTCCTTTAGAAGGTGTTTGCACAGGACGCAGGGCTGGGGAGGTGGACAAAGCCCCCCTGGACACACTCACCTTCAGCTTGTCCAGGTAGGTATGTTCCTGGCTCCAGGGTTCCTGGAACCGCACGAGGTCGGGGGCGCCCTTGTAGAACTCTACCAGCAGCATCTAGGGGAGGGGCAGAGCACAGACCAACATTCCTTTCTCCCGCCCACCCTCCCTCTGTGTGCTGGTCCACTGAATGCCAGGCAATGAGCAGCACAGAGATAAAGTACTTAACCTGCCTGAGGGCCACAAAGGAGAATAACCAAGGGTACCAGGAAGGCCCAACTGAAAAACCAAACCCACCACCACCGAGTCTACTGCCACTCACAGTGCCCCTAGAGGACAGAGAAGAATTGTCCCATGGGATTTCCAAAGCAGTGGTGTAGTACCTAAGGCGTGTGACTGCTAACCAGAAAGCTGGTGGCTCAAACCCATCAGCCCCTCCTCAGAAGGAAGGTTGGGCAATGTACTTTTGTAGTGATAATTGCCTTGGAAACCCAAGGAGGAGTTGCTATGAGTCGGACTCGACAGCCATGAGTTTGGTTTTTAGTTTTAGAATCTTCACGGAAACAGACTGCCCCATCTTTCTCCTTTGGAGCAGCTGTTGTTGTTGTTGTTGTTGTTAAGTGCCGTCGAGTCGTTTCCGACTCATAGCGACCCCATGCACAGCAGAACGAAACACTGCCCGATCCCGCACCAGCCTGCTATACTCGAGCCCATCATCGCAGCCACTGTATCAATCCATCTCGTTGAAGGCCTCCCCCTCTTTCGTCGACCCTCCACCCTACCAAGCATGACATCCTTCTCCAGGGAATGGTCCCTTCTTACAACATGACCAAAATAGGTGAGACGAAGTCTGGCCATTCTTGCTTCCAAGGAGCATTCTGGCTGCACTTCCTCCAGGACAGATCTGTTAGTTCTTTTAGCAGTCCATGGTACTTTCAGCATTCTTCGCCAGCACCACAACTCAAAAGCATCAACTCTTCTTCAGTCTTCCTTATTCATTGTCCAGCTCTCACATGCATACAAGGTGATTGGAAATATCATGGCTTGTGTCAGGCGCACCTTAGTCCTCAAGGAGATATCCTTGCTCCTCAGCACTTGAAACAGTTCCTTCGCAGTTGACTTTCCCAATGCTACACGTCGTCTAATGTCCTGACTGCTGCTTCCGTTGGCATCGATTGTAGAACCAAGCAATGTGAATTCCTTGACAACCTCAATCTTCTCTCCATTGATTGTGATGCTGCTCATTGGTCCAGTTGTGAGGATTTTTGTTTTCTTTATGTTGAGATGTAATCCATACTGCAGACTGTATTCTTCAACCTTCATCAGTAGGTGCCTTAAATCATCCTCACTTTCAGCAAGCATTGGAGCAGCTAGTGGGTTTGAACTATTACCAGCCTTTTGGTTAGCAGCTGAATGCCTTAACCACCATACCACCAGAGCTCCTTACCAGAAGGGCCCACCTCATCTTAAATCCAGGAAGGCTCCCTGGAGGGAGAGGCTGAGCTCCTGGCAGAGGAGCTACGGCATGCAGGCCCAGCATTGCTCCCTGGCTTAGCCTTGCCCTAAGCCGTGTTGGGAGCTCTGGTGGCACAGTGCCTACGGTATTTGACTGCTAAGCAGAAGGCTGGCAGTTTAAACCCACCAGCCACTCCTTTGAAGGAAGACTGGGCGATCTACTTCTGTAAAGATTTACCACCCAAAGGGGGTCGCTATGAGCCAGAATCAACTTGGTATCGGTGAGTTTGGTTTTTTTGGGTTAAGCAGTGTTGGCTGCCACCGAGCCTCCCAACTCACAGCGACTCACAGCAGAACACAGTGCTGCCCGATCCTGCGCCGTCCACATGACAAGCTGCAGACAGGACCGCTGTGATCCACACGACTATCGTGGGCTCATTTCCGAACACAGGTTGCCGGCCTTTCTTCCTAGTCTGTCTTAGTGTGGACGCTCCGCTGAAACCTGTTCAGCATCCTGGCTACCTGCGAGCCTCCAGGGACAGACGGGAGGGGGCTGGGCACGAGGCACCGGCCAGCAATCGAGCCTGGGTGGCCTGCGTTGGACACCTGAGCAGGAACACCTGAGCCATCCCTGCTGGTGGCGGGCGCTGTCAGGTCAAGTCTGACTCATCATGACCCTGTGCTGTCATACAGCAGTGCCCCACAGGGCGCTGGAGTTTTCTGATACATTTTTTGCTACTATTTTTCATTTGGTATTTAAAAGCAATCATTACAAAGCGGTATACCAAAACTAAAAAAGAAAAAATAAAGCTCTGGTGGCAGTGCACAGGAACATTAAATACTTTTGTTTCCATCATTTAATCCTGGCCACGTGCATCTGCTGCCCATGGGTTTTCTAGGCCGTGGTCTACGGGGCCACGTGTTTGCCTGTCAGGAATTCCATTTACTGAACGCTGACGTTGTCAGGGATTTCATACTTGGATCCACAATCCATGCCCAAGGAAGCAGCAGCCAAGAAACTAAACAACGTACTGCATTGGGCAAATCTGCTGCAAAAAAAACCTCTTGAAAGTATTCAAAAGCAAAGATGTCACTCTGAGGACTAAGGTGCACCTGACCCAGGCCAGGACAATGAAGGATGACTGAAAAAACATCGATACATCTCAATTGTGGTGAAAAATACTGAAAAAAAAAAAATACCACACCCTTCCAGAAGAATGAACAAATCTGTCCTGGAAGAAGTAGAACCAGCATGTCTTTAGAAGCAAGGATGGCAAGACATCGTCCCATAGACTGTGGACGTGTTATCAGGAGAGACCCATCCCTGGAGAAGGACACCATGTCTGGTAAAGTAGAGGGTCAGTGAGAAAGGGGAAGACCTTCAATGGACCTCAACAAGACGGACTGACAAAGTGGCTGTGACAGTGGGTTCGAGCCCAGCAAGGACTGTGAGGATAGCCCATGACTGGGCAGAATTCCGATCTTGTGTATAGGGGCCACTAGGGGCAGAACCAACTTGACGGCACCTAACAACAGCGATAATCTTCAAGGGAGCAGACACCCAGCTTTCACCCACAGAGATGCTGGTGGGTTCACACCACCCACCTCTGTTGGCAGCTGGTGCTTAACCGGTGCACCACCAGGGCACCTGTGAAATCCTGAGTCGGAGGTTTGTAAGCACACAGCATTGAGAGACATTCATCTGGGCCTCTGCGGGTCTCCATCGGGGTGGCAGTGGTAGCGACAGAGCCCAGACACCAAGGGGGGACAGCGGGGCTGGGACAGGGTGGGTGCAGGGAGGGGCAGGGGTGAGGGGCTAGGGCTTTTCTCCCAACAGGGCAGAGGAGGTGAGAGAACTCAGGCCCAGGGCCTCCAGCACGGCTGCCCAGAGGAGCTCACCATCTCCTGCAGCAGGTCATTGGTCAGGAAGCCATCCTGCACATACACCATCTCCACGTCCATGGGGATGCCATAGTCACCCGGCCTTTGCTGGAGGGGACACGGCCGTCAGAGCAGCCTCACCACCCACAGTCCCACTCCAAGTGGTGGCAGGGGACAGCAGGAGTGCCCCGGGGCTGAGAATTAGAGAATCTAAACTCCAAATACAGACCCGATTTGGACTTGGGGGTGCAGAGCCACCTTTGGGGAGCCCACTCGTGTTGAAGGGGGTGGCCACAAGAGAGAAGCCGGCATCTGCCCCTCCCCCTTCCTGGGCAGGTTCAGGAAGGAAGCCCCCTGGGTGGTATGCTGTACCTGGTAGCCCCACAAACTTATCCCTCACCCCAGACCCCCACTGATGCCTCTGAAAGGGCTGGCATTGGACCCCACTCCACAGATGGGACAAAATGAGGCCAGGTCCCCTGAGATCCCTCCTACCCCAGGCCTGTCCCTACTATCCAGCTCTGCCAATCACAGCACTCCCACCTACCTCAGGGGGTGGCATCACCCAGAAGGGCAAGATCTTGGACTCAGGGCCTGGGTTGCCAGAGTAGTAAGGCGCTAGGGAAGGAGAGAGACAGGGGCTGGGTCCCGGGCCTCAGCTGGCCTGGCAGCCCCCGCCCCCACCCGGGGAACCTCCAGCAGCCCCCATGCCCCAGGACGCACAGCAGAGCAGAGCCAGGCAGGGCTGGAAGCCATTGCTGGAGCCCTGCAGGCGCAGCTGGTAGTCCATCTGCGTGTCGATGTCCTGCAGCGAGGGCAACGCTGGGCTGTGCGGGTGGCTGTGGTACCAGCCGACCAGGGACAGGCCCCGCAGGAACAGGCTCTGGTAGACCTGAGGACACAGGTGCAGCTCAGGGCCAACATTTCCTGAGTACCTACTGTGGTAGTTCAGTTTGCGTGTCAGCCTGGCTGGGCAGCTGGTGGGAGTTACTCCCCATGAGGAGACTGGCAATCAACTCCATGGTGGGATCTACCACAAGCAGCTGAGTAGCTGCCTTTGGGATGTGGTCTGCTTCCTGTATATAAGGAGAAGCCTTGGGAATGGTCTCTAGCCTATGGCACGCTTGGACCCAGCATGTAGCCGTGTCGTTGCTCAGCAGCCTGCCATGCACTGCCGACCTTGGGACTTACAATGGACTTAAGTTAATGGCCTGCCGTGTGGTTTGGTAACATTGGGACTGTGCCTTTTTACTTGTCAACCTTGGGGCTTGTCAGCCTCAGCAGCCAGCAGCTGTCTGAGTGAAGAAACACCTCTAGCTCCAGTGGGCCGGGAGCAGGAGGCGGAGCTGGACCCCAAGGCTGAGGGGCTTTCACCCAGCCCCTAGAGCCTGGCACTTTGAACTTGGACTTAAAGCCTCTAAACTGTAAGAATAAACCCTGTTTGTTTAAGCCATCCCATTTGGGTTTATTTTTGTCAGAGTGGTACTAGATAACCAGAACACCTACTATGTGCCAGGCCTGGGGACACGGCAGTGACCAAGACAGACCCCGCCTCGCTCTCACAGAGTCCAGAGGCAGAGGGGAAACAGTCAATATATCCATCTATAAGAAAGATGTACGCTATCACCAAATGAAGGTAAGGATGTTTTCTTCACTGCTGTACCCCTGGCTCAGTGACTGGCACACAGTAGGTGCTCGATAAACAGGGGTGGGCACATGGGCAGGGACAAGCATTCCTGGGTGTCACTGCAGCAAATGCGTGTGGAAGAGAAATGGAGAGGTGCAGGCTGAGTTGGCATGCCAGCCTGTCCCACTTGGGGACACTGCAACGTTTCCACGAAGAGGTAGGTGTGAAGCGTTGAACACAGTGCAGGTCACGGACTAACCACCATTATGAAAGCATGTCTAAGACTGGGGCCCCAGAGCATTCGATATTCACAACCATTCATTTTAGCCTCGTATTTTACAGACGAAGAGCGAGCACTGGTGGACGCCAGTTAAGGGCTCTGCTGCTAACCCACCCAGCGGCTCCATGGGAGAAAGACCTGGCAATCTGCTCCCATAAAAATGACAGCCTGGGAAACCCTGTGGGGCAGTTCCACTCTGTCAGAGTCAAGCACCAACTAGAAGGCACCTAACAGCAACTCTGTAGGCAAGAGAACGGATGCCAGAGAGGTGTCTTAGTCATCTAGTGCTGCTATAACAAATACCAAGAGTGGGGGGCTTCCACAAACAGAAATGTACACTCTCACGGTTTAGGAGGCATCAGCTCTAGGGGAAGGCTTTCTCTCAGCTCTGGGGGAAGGTCCCTGTTTCTTCAGCTTCCGCTTCCTGCTGCCTTGGAGCGCCCCATGTGTCCTGGCATCACTCTTCCCCATCTCTCTCTCTACTCGCCTGTTTAATCTCTTTTATATCTCAAAAGAGATCAACTCAAGACACACCCTCCACTAATCCTGCCTCAGTAACATCACAGGCAACCCATTCCAGAATGGGATTGTAACCACAGGTGTAGGGTTAGGATTGACAACATCTATTTTTGGGAGACACGATTCAGTCCCTAACTGAGGGGAGGAGACTAGCCAGGGTTGCACAGAAAACACATTAAGCCCCAGGGCCTGAAACACAGCTGACGACTGGGCCTCACACACACCCATTCGCACCCTTGCTGAGCGCTGACGCTGTGCCAGAAGCCAGGACAGCTCTGTGGCTTTCCAGAATGCCACTCCCAGGCCCCCTGCCCCTCTGCCCTGCCCCCCCTTTAGCCCTTCACCTCCTGCCTCACTCTCACCTCCTCTTCGATGGTGGCCGCCATGTCTGCGTCACCCAGGCGGCTCCGACAGGGGAAAGCTCTCAGCACGGTCAGCACTACACAGAGGGAGGGGTGAGGCATGGACAGCAACCTGACCCCAACACCACCCCCCTGCAGCCCCAGCCCCTAATACCCACTCTGGCTGTTGATGTCCCAGCGGCCCCCCAGGTACCCCACGACTTCGCTCCGAGTCAGGTGGCTGTGGAAGTCCTGGAGAAGGGGGGGACATGGGAAGAGGACTCAGGGCCCAGCTCCCTTCACTCAAGCATCTGTTGAGCGTCTACTGTTTACCGGCAGCGATAATAAGGCAGGCAGCTTATATTCCAGGGGCTCCGTCCCTCACAGGCACCCCAGCCCCCTATACCCCCCAGGAGCCCTTTGCCACTGGCCACTGAGGACAAGACCAGGAGGCCACATACCAGCAGGAACAGCACGTTGCTGGAAATGGCTACGTTAAACGGCTGGAACTTGTTGATGGCTGCAAAGGACGTCACTTCCACCAGGGTGTGGGGGCTCCTATAGGGGCCAGGTGGTGCGTCCTACAGCCTCAGGGATCCCTCAGGCTTGCCCTCCACCCCCAAAATAACCCCGCCCCACCAGGGCTCCAGGTGAGCTGGGGAGGGACGTTAGGCACCGGGGATATCTGACCTGGCGGAATCCCGACTGCCCAGCATGCAATAGCGAACAGGTACCCGGATCTTGTTTTCCACGCACTTCCCCGGGGGCGTGGCCTCTGGGGGGGGTGGGGAGGCAGCATCAGAAGGAAAAATATTCAGCAGCAGCCTTAAAAATCGCAGCGGGGTAAGAAACAGGGCAGAGGAGCTCAGGAAAGACTTCAGATAATCAGGCAGTGGGCCAAAGAAATGAGGCGGCAGGGTCAGGAAAGCAAGGGGCTTTCAGAAATCGGGCAACGGGACAAAGAAATCCTGTAGGGGCAGCAAGAAGTCAGGCAGCACGAATACAAAGTGAGTAGCACATAAAGAAATACGGCAGTAGGACCAAGAAATGCAGGTTTGGAGCTTAAGAAGTCAGGCGGTGAGAGTGAAATTAGGCAGCGGGGTTAGGAGATCAGCTGGATATCTCGGAGAGGGGGTTGAGGAAAATTAAACCCTGAACTTTCTGCAGCCATTTCCACCCGTTTCCCTCCCTCAACAATCTGATCTCCCTGCCCCAAGACCCACTTCCCTCCCCTCATCTCCCTGCCCCCCACCGACATCTCACCCTGGTGGGTGGGCTCAGAGGGGACTTTCCCCTGTGGCCTCCGGCTCTTGTCCTCTGCTGCTGAAACCCCCGCCGAGGCCTCCTCTTCCTCCTCCTCCATCAGCAGCTCCTCCTCCTCCCCTTCACTGGCTGGGCTCTGGCAAGGTAAGGGTAAGAGTGGGGAGGGTAGGCTCAGCTTTGATGCTCCAGGCCCCTATGTTCCTGGTAGCGTTGAGCCCTAGGCCCCTGCAGCTCCCCAAATATCCACTAGAGGGAGTGAGGGAGCAAATACGGTTTTAGGTTCAGCTCAGGCCTGAGCACTTTCAGGTGGCCCTTTCAAAGATTTGAATCCTGTCTGTGCCTAAGAGAAGCTGTGTGACCCGGGATAAGCACCCTAACCTCTCTGGGCTCTGGAAATGGCATGAGGCCCGACAGCCCCATAGGGATGGCGTCAGGGTGAAATAAGAAATGTCCAAAGCATTTTAGCAGGCATTTGGAGCAAGCGAGGGATTCAGGTAGATTATGTCATTAATTTATCTCAGTAATCTCTCCAAACACCCAGAACCTCCCCACTTCTTGCCCCTCTTGAAGGTCTCCACCTGGGTCCAGCCCCATCATCACCCACCTGGACCTGTGTAGCCTCTGCCCTGGCTCCCGCCCTCCCCCCCAATCTGTTGCCACCGCAGCAGCCAAAGGCCACATGTGAGCACCCAAGTCAGTGCCCATCTCTCCTTTGCTCACAGCCCTCCAGGGCTCCTGCTTTCCTCCAGTAAAAGCTCTAGTCCTCCCCAAGGCCCACAGGGCCCTGCACGACCCGCCCGGTCCCCTCCATGTCCTCCCCTCTTCCTCTCCCTCACTCCGCTCCAGCCATAGGGCCCTCCTCACTGTTCCTCCAACTTGCAGGGCATGGTCCTGCCTCAGGGCCTTTGCATGGGCTGTGCCCTCTGCCTGGAACACCTTTCCCCAGTCTCCCCAGGCACACCTTCACCTCCTGGAGGTCTCTGCTCAGATCTCCCCTGCCTCACAAAACCTTCTGAGACCACCTGTCTAAAATGCAGTCCCGTCCTACCCTCACCCCTCTTCCTCTCTGCTTTCGTGTGCTCCAGGAACACCCCCCATCCAACACACACACTCTCTTCTGCACTGGAATCAGCTCCACAGGGTCAGGAACACATTTTGCTCTGTCCCCCTAGCGTCAAATGGGGTCTGGCACAAAGTAGGTGCTCAGCAAAGCTCACTGAAGGAATAAACAAGAACACAGACCTCCCCACGGCCCACAGGGCCCTGCATGACCTGCCCATCCCCTCCATGCCTTCCCTCCTCCTCTCCCTCACTAATGCTGCTCCAGCCAACGGGCTGCCTCCCTGTTCCTCCCACCTGCCAGATTTGCTCCTGCCCCAGGGCCTTTGCACAGCCTGTGCCCTAAAGATCCCCATGGTTTCTTCCCTTCCCTCCTTCAGTTCTCTGCTCAAGTGTCATGCTCTCAGCAAGGCCTTCCCTGGCCTCCCTGCTTGCCCTCCCATCCCATCCCCTCCTTGCTTATTTGTCATCTGACACACTAAAGGCTGACTAACTTCTCCTGTTTGTCCCTCTCTCAATGAAAACAATGATTTTTCCCTTTTATGCTCCTTGTGCCGAAGGCAGGCCTACAGATGTACTTCCATAAAGCTCTCAGGCAGGAAAACCCGATGGGGCAGTTCTACTCTGCCACAAGGGGTCACTGAGTCGGGATCGACTCAATGGCACCAGGCAGGTAGGCTATATCCAGCACCTAGAACAGGGCCTGGTACACAGCACTCACTAAATACTGGCTGAATGAATAGCCCTAGGACATGGGCATGTATTCACGTCATCATGTCCATGTTACATATGAAGAAAACAGGCACACAGATTGTCCTTAGCCAAGTCCACCCAGCTCTGAATCCTCAAAGAATATAAGCTACTATTATCCTGGCATTCGAGGCCCTCCAGGATCTAGCTGGTTGGCATTTCCAGCCCCCTTAGCATTCCAGGACACTTGCACCTCCACTTGCATCAGCTAATTATGATTCCCTAAGCAGCACAAGCTGTTCTGTGCCCATATGGCTTTGCACATGCCATTCCCTCCTTCCAGAGAGCCTCCCCTACATATTACTCTCACAAAACTCCTACTCATCCATCAAAGCCCCAGCTCTAACGTCCCTTCTCTCTGGCCCACCCCAGGCAAGTGAGGAGGGGCTGACTGTGGCAGGAAGCTGTAGGACACACCTCATCAGCGGCAGCTGCAGGTACATGGAGCTGGTGCCGCCGGAGCCAGGCAGCCTTGTACTTGTCCAGTTTCTGGCCCTTGTACTTGACGGAGGCCCAGCCGCAGCCAGATTTCTTGGCCGGGTTCACCAGCTTCTTGCAGTGGGTGGCCCAGGCGCTGGGTGAGTTGAAAACCTGCCCCGTCTCCTGCCAGATGATCCTCCCGTCTGGCTGCAGGTCTCCCACGAACTTCTTCCCCTGTGGCAACAGTGAACTAACTAGGCCTCTCCTCCAGAAAGCCCCATCTGACCTCCAGCCTTGGCACCCATTTCCCTTTTCAGCACCTTCTCCACGAAGTCTTTTGTAGGCCAGTTTGTGTGTCTTGTCAGTGCCTGTATGTCTACCATCAGAGCCCTAAACATCCTATATTAAAACTTCCCAGTCATGTGTCTCCTCTATGGGACTGGGAGACCCTTAGGGGCGGGGACTGGGTCTCCATCATCGCTGTGTTCCCAGCATCCAGCACACAGCCTGGCACTCAGCAGGTACTCAAATCACAGATGGTGCCCATTCACGAACCTAACAATGAGTAATAATAACAAGCAACTAGTTCTTATCAAGTGGATTCTGACTCACGACGACCCCACGTGTATCAGAGTAGAACTGTGCTCCATAGGGTTTTCAAGGCCTGATTTTTTTTTTACTAGATTGCCAGGCCTTTCTTCCGAGGTAGCTCTAGGAGGACTGGAATGTCTAACTTTTGGTTAGCTGCTGAGTGTGTTAAGAAGAATAATGCATCAGGATTAAGGATAACAACAAACACTGAGAAGCACTTACTGTGCAGCAGGCACAGTGCTAAGCGCTTTATTCACTTAATCATCACACAATCCCATGGGGGGGAAAATGCCCATTTTACAGATGGGAAACTCTGACACAGAGAGGTTGAACGATGTCACGGAGTCAGGAAGACCCTGTGCAGGTAACCGCTCCTCTCTGAGCCTCAGTTTCTCCTTTGTGGCAAGGGTGTTCGGTGCCCGCGTCCTCTGGCCCAGAAGGGCTCGTCTTGGGCCTCACAGGAATCCAGGCCTCAGTTTCCCCTTCCTGCACCAGCCGGGATGGGGGTACGCTCACCAGGTAGTAGATGGAGAGAACCCCGGCGCCGGGCTCGAGCAACGCGTCTTTCAGCAGCACCCGCAGCGTGACTGCGCGCCGGGTGAGCGCGCATCCCAGGCCGCCGCCGCCGCCGCCTCCCCCGGTCCCGGGCCCGGCCCCGCCGCTGCTGCCGCTGCGCCCTCCGCCCGCGCCTGCCAGCCGCTCGGGGTCCTCGGCCTCCGCTTCGTCTTCGTCCTCGTCTGGCGCCTCCTCGCCCGCGCCGCCCGCTGGGGACAGCGGCTCCGGAGCTGCGGGCGTCGACAGGCTGCATTGGGGCCGCGCGGCCCCCGCCACCTGCCCCGGCGCCCCGCGGCCCCCGCCCCCCGAAGTACCTGCCATGGCCGCGCAGCCCGCGCCGGGAGCGCCGCCAGCACTTTCTTCCCGGCACGTGACGCGGCTCCGCCCCCTCAGGGTTGGGGGGCGCCCAGCCATTGGCCGCTGCCTGGGGGCGGGGGCCGGCGGGGAAACTGAGGCGTCCAGGCTACCAGTGTAAAGAGGAACTCAGTCCTCTGGTACGATTGGGGAAACTGAGGCCTGAGACCACCGACCATGGTGGGGAGAGGCGCGAGTGGACGCGTAGCCCATTGATACAAATGGGGAGACCGAAGCCCCTGACCTCCGCTTTCTAGGGGCCACTGGCTCCTCTGAGGCCAGCACTAGTTGGGTTCAAGACTGGGATTGGGGGACGCGAGAAGCTCAGCTTGTGGGATGAGCGGGGAAACTGAGGACCGGGGCCGCCGCACTGGAAGAACGCAGAGGCCTCGGCCGTTGAGACCAGCGCGAAACTGAAACTCAGGTTAACGAACCACTGCACCCTGGAGCGGCGAGCTAGATTCGGGAAGCAACCCCTTGCCGGTTAATGCAGGTATCAATTCTCCCAATCCAATGTCAATCTCTAAAGGGTTAACTTCCATCCGCCTCTCACTCTCAGCTAATTCCATGATTGGACCAGAAAGGAGCACGCCAACCAATTATAAATCAAAAACTCACTGCCGTGGAGTCGGTTCCTGCTCATAGGGCGGCCATTTTATCTCCAACCAATCGACTACAGTTTCTGGATTCTCTACAGCCAATCTCTTTCGCCAGGCTGGGCCTCAGCCAATAGGCAGCCAACCACCTCAACCAATCAGCAGAAGGCACTGGACCTGTGCATCCAACCAGCTGCTTAATCTGCTGTTCAGCTGAACAGTCAGTTCCAGGATCAAAACCTGCCCCTCCAGTGCATTCCCGCAGCGCGCGCAGTGTCCGGGGCGGAGCGTCCTTGGACCCGCGCCTGGAGCACAACTCTTTGTCGTTGATTCTGGTCTTGGGACCTTCGCCCCTGGGCGCAGACAGAGCTGAAAGGGCGCCCGGGCTGGGGGATGTCCCAAACTGCGGGCGCCGTGGACTGGATTCAACAGACGTTGGGCTAGGTCTGACCCCAGCTGGGGAAAGAGTAGACAGGACAAAGCGAGAAAGGACGACCGGGGCTGCCTGGAATCAGACGACCTGTACCAGATCCTGCGCCACCACTTCCCAGCTCTGTAACTCTGGGCACGTGGCTTGACTCAGTTTCCCCATGGGGATAATGGTAGTTCCCATCTCTTAGAATTGTAAGATTAATTAAGTGAATTAATCCTGTAAAGAGCTTAGAAACAAACCCACTGCTCTTGAATCCATTCTGACTCATGGTGACCCCCATGCGTTACAAAGTAGAACTGGTCGAACTGCACGCCGTAACGTTTCCAATGCCTATCATCTTACAGAAAAGAGGTCTGGTGGCACAGTGGTTAAGTGCTGGGCTGCTAACCGAAAGGTTGGCTGTTCGAAGCCACCAGAAGTTCCACTGGTTAACGATGTGGGCTCTCCTAAGGACTGTTGTTAAGGGCTGTTGAGTCCATTCCAACTCATAGAGACCCACAGTTTTTCACAGAAGGAAACACTGGAGATCTCGTTGGTGTGTTTGAGCCCATTATTGCAGCCACTGTGTCAGTCCGTCATTGACAGAGTTCCTCTTTGTTTGCAGACCTACTGCTTTATCAGGCATGATGTCCTCCAGGGACTGTTCCCTTCTGATAACACGTCCAAAGTACATAAAGATTACAGTTCAGAAACCCTATGGGGCAGTTTTGCTCTGTTCTGTAGGGTTGCTGTGAGTCAAAATTGCCTGAATGTGCAGTGGGTAATCCTTCAGAAGCAGAATTCCAGGCCTTTCTTCTGCAGCCCCACTGGGTGGGTTTGACCTGTCAGCCTTTAGGTTAGTATTCTGTGCCAGCCAGAGACCTTGAGCTTGAACAAGGCTTGGCGTAGTTAAGAGCTGAGGAGTGTGAATTATTACGGTCTTTGCCCAGCCCAAGCCTCCTTTTGGACCCCTCGCTCTGCCAGCCAGGGGCTGTGATGGTTCAGTGGTAGGACTCGGCCAGTGCATCTCATGTGCGCTCCCACTCATCCGTCACTAGAGCTTGCGTGTTGCTAGGAGGCTGAACAGATTTCAGCAGAGCTTCCAGACTAAGATGGACCAGGACTTTGGAAAATCAGCAGCTGAAAATTTTATGGATCACAGAATTGCAACTAATGTTACAAAACAAAACATGTGTACATTTGTGAGTGGAAAAATAAATGCTGTGTAACCTTGCACCCAAACTACAATGAAAAAAACGAACAAACCCATGGATTGCAGTGTTCCAGTATACAAACCACCATGGGGATGGCAGAGGATGGGGCAGCGTTGGGGTCTGTGTGCGTGGGCTTACCGTGAGTGGGGGCTGACTCATGGCAGCCAATGACAAGCCAGCGCCCACACACCCCATTCTTCTCCCATGTCTTACTTTCCTTTCCATTCTCCTTCACCCCCTTCCTTCCAAGGATCTGGGCCAGACCCAGTTTTTCTCACTGGGAACCTGGTCTTCTCCTCCCTTGACCTCAGACCTCCACGCCCTCCTCCTGTCCATCCCTCACCCTGGCCCCACAGGGGATGATTCTAGAATGCAAATGTTACTACCTCCCTCCCCTGTGCTAAATAAACCCTTCCAAGGTTCCCCATTGCCTTTGATAACATTAAAACTAACTGCCCTGTGCCCTTACGATCGCTAATGGCACCTGCAGTGGCTGACGTGGTTATCAGCCTTATTAGGTGGCTCAGCAAAATCCAGTCATGGCTGGGAGAGAGACTGTTGGAGGGGATTGCAAACCCCCTTCCTGGTGCGTGTATCAAGTCCAGGTGGAATCCTTGGATGTGCAAATGATGAGCATGCGCTGTTGTGAACTCAAAGGGTAGAAGTCCCAAGGCCACCCAGAGGCGCCTTGGAAGAAAGGCCTGGTGATTTCTTTCTGAACACTCAGCCCTGGAAAACCCTGTGGAGCACAGTTCTACTGTGACACACAGGGGGTCTCCATAAGTAGCAAGCAGATCAAAGGCAACTGGAAGGTCCAAGAGGCCTGGCAATGATCAAAAAAGCAGAAAACAACAAACGCTGGTGAGGGTGTGGGGAGATTGGAACTCTCATACACTGCGGGTGGGACTGTAAAATGGTATGATCACAGTGCAAAACCGTGGCACTTCCCTAAAAACTTAGAGACACTGTTCTCGTTCCCTAGTGCCACTCTGATGGGAATATACCACCAATGGGATGGCCTTAACAAACAGGAGTTTATTCTTACAATTTGGAGGCTTTAGGTCCAAGTTCAAAGTGCCAGGCTCTAGGGGCTGGTGAAAGCCCCTCAACCTTGGGGTCCAGCTCTGCCTCCTGCTCCTGGCCCACTGGAGCTAGAGGCATTTCTTCACTCAGACAGGTGCTGACTGCTGAGGCTGACAAACCTAAGGTTGACAAATAAAATGGCACAGTCCTGATGTTACCAAACCACACGGCAGGCCATCAATTTAAGTCCATTGTAAGTCCCAAGGTCGGCAGAGCATGGCAGGCTGCATGACACAGCTACATGCAGGGCCCAAGCGCGCTGTAAGCTAGAGACCATTCCCGAAGCTATTTCTTATACACAGGAAGCAAACCACGTCCCAAAGGCAGTTACTCAGCTGTTCACAGGAGATTCCACTATGGAGTTGATTACCAGTCTCATCATGGGTGTGGTAGTTAAGGTCATGTGTCAACTTGGCTAGGCCTGGTTGAGGGCTGGGCAGCTGGATGTAGTATTCCCCATGATGAGACTGGTAATAAACTCCATGGTGGGATCTACTGCGAACAGCTGAGTAGCTGCCTTAGGGAATGTGGTCTGCTTCCTATATTTAAGCAGAAGCTTTGGGGATGGTCTCTAGCCTATGGCACACTTGGACCCTGCATGTAGCCGTGTCGTTGCTCAGCAGCCTGCCCTGCTCTGCCGACCTTGGGACTTATGATGGACTTTAGTTAATGGCCTGCCATATGGATTGGTAACATCAGGACTGTGCCTTTTGACTTGTCAACTTTGGGCTTCTCAGCCTCAGCAGCCAGCAGCTGTCTGAGTGAAGAAACACCTCTAGCTCCAGTGGGCCGGGAGCAGGAGGCAGAGCTGGATCCCAAGGTTGAGGGAATTTAACCCAGCCCCTAGAGCCTGGCACTTTGAACTTGGACCTAAAGCCTCCAAATTGTAAGAATAAACTCCTGTTTGTTAAGGCCGTCCCATTGGTGGTATATTCCTATCAGAGCGGCACTAGGGAACCAGAACAGTGGGGAATACTATATCCAGCTGCCCAGCCAAATTGCCACACAAACTGAACTACCACAGACACCATAAGATCCAGCAGTCCCACTACAAAGTATACATCCTAGAGAAATAAGAGCCAGGACACAAACAGATATACACACATGTCTTGGGGTACATCTAGGTCAATTGGTAAAACACAGTTGTGGTGAATTGCTCGATGTGGCCCTTCTAGCCATTGTCCTCCATTCTGTGATGTATTGTAAATCCTATTATCCATGCCTGTTTGGGGTGGTGTGGTAGTTAAGGTCAGGTATTACACTTGGCTAGGCAGCTGGTAGTAGTTGTTCCCTATGACTGGCAATCGGCTCTGTGATGAGATTTGCCTTGAGCTGCTAATTGTTAAAGCCATCCACTTGGGTTATGCTGTTGGGGCAACATACATGGAATGTATCTTGAGTCCTGCCTTGCTGGAGGGTATAATTCCAATCACTACCCTTAGCTTCCCTGAGGGTTTACCTACAAATCTCCTGGGAAGGTTCACCCTCTTCTTGCTCCGGCTTTGTGTCTTGGCTCATCCTCATCTCACCCCTGGATTTGGGACAGCAGCCGTCATCTGATCTGCTGATCGAGGTTCATTAAAACCTCGAGAATTGGGAGGATCCTCCAGACCTACTCACGGACCTGGGGCTTGCCAGCCTGCCAGCCTCCACCAGCACTACGTGAGATGATCCCTTGGATGTCTGAGTTCTGTGAGGCATTACAGCAAAATACAGAACCCTA